TACTGTGTGTTTCAGAGCAAAGCATGTCTCTGTGTTCTTTTACACACAAACAGCTCATGATCCATTGTTTTAAGCATCTTAGAGCAACAAAATTAATGTTTGTGCTGTGAGAATGTGCATTTGGAACACAAATACGAAACTTAAATGTCTGTTTAACTCTTGCAAGCATAGAAATGTATATGTAAGTGTTGTAATTTTAGTACTGTAAAACATATATATAATTACGAAATGTAATTTTTTTTTTACAGTGCAGTTTTATTTCAAAAGTAATATATTTAATAATATATTATTAATATATTTGTCACTACCGGCCCACTGGGGAAACTTCCGGGAAAAAGGAGAAGAGCGAGTTCGGCAAAAGGTGGACGTCACGTCTAACGTCATACGCCACAGAAGCTATTTAATGGCATATTTAATGGCACGTAGTGCATATACACACTCAGTTATCGAAAATGTAAAAAAACAACAACAAAAAGTGAGCATAATGCCCATTGGGTAATCCGGGCCTGCTCACAACGCAATGTCACATTCAATAAGGGAAAAGTTTGGTTATGTTCCCTGAGTTTTTCATCTGATGTGATGTGAACACTGAGGATTTTGTGTGTTGTTTTTGTCAAGGTGATAACCAGAAGCTCCGGCAGACACACAGTTATACAGTCTTACGCCTACTGTCACACTGTGGGAGTCACACCGTTGGTGTGTTCACAGATCTGACTACCAGCTAATAATAAACCTCACAGCACCTCACACTGAGAGAGTTGTTAACAATGTCAACTCCTTGGTAAAGAAGTGCTATCTTTTTTATTGCAGTAAGTTATTGCTCTGAACACTCACCTGTCCATCAAGGTCGAAGGCGAGACAGGCGATACCGTGTGTGTGCATGTCCTTCAGTATGGACACTGTCTGCACAGTGTACGAGTCCCACACACAGATATACGGCTCCTTTCCAACCTGTCCTGTGGCCACCAGAACTCGCTCTGGATGCAATGCTAAACTGTGGAAAGAGAAAGTCAATGAGGTTAGGATTTTTAAAGGCTGATTAACTGACAATATTTGCCTGGCAAAACAAATCCTACACAAGTTTGTGAACGCAAACACTTTTTTTAATATAACTCAGATTGTATTCATCTGAAAGAAGAATGTCATATATACCTAGGATGGCTTCACGGTGAGTAAATCATGGGCTAATATTCATTTTTGGATAAACTATGCCTTTAAGTATTTATAACAGGAAAAAACACTTGTAAAAAACACACTGGCCAAAAATACATCATTAAATATTTGGTGATATGGTCCTGCTCAAAATTCGGCCTTGATTTATACAGATAACCGATTTAAAAAATGAGATTGTGGACAGCTACAATACGATGAGCTACTACTGCTTATCATTTCTCACAGTCAGGAGTGAAAATGAGAGAAAGGCTTTTAGTTATCAGAGACCCATGAAGAGATAACCGGAGTCTTCTGCAACCTAAGACTCATGAAACCGAGGCTCAGATAAAGACTGTCAACACAGCGTGATTTGTGTGTTTTAGATGTAAATGTAGTCAACATTCATTCTATTCCTTCTTTTTTTTTTTTAAATAAGCTTTTATTTTCATCCCACAGCATGTAGCATTATCCATAATAATGCCCTGGTGCAGAAATAGGCGGAAAAATCAGGTCATCGCCGTTCATGTAGCAGTATTCACTCTCACCGTCACACTAGTTCACTAAATTCATTCAGGAAATCCCAGAGGCGTCCAAATGTTGCGTAACATCTGTCCAGCTTTACTACGGTCTCTCGCTCTCTCTCCGTCACGCACATAATATGTATATGCTCTTTTTCATTTTTATCAGCAGTGTACACAGAACACGTTTTTGCGTTCCACTGCACTGTTTTTCCATTATTTTTTTTATGTAAATATGGGCTGGACATGTGTTTGACCATTGCACTCGAGCCTCTGAAATGTGGCCCATTTAAGTCAAAAGAAAAAATGTGTTTACACTTTATTTTGATAGCCCACTTTAGCATTGAACTAATTATCAACTAAGTAACTTTGCAACTACATGTCAACTAACTCTCATTAGTGTATTAGTAGACTGTTAGGTTAGGGTTCGGGTTAGTAGTAGAATAAGTTGACATACTTGCAAAGTTACTTATAGTCAGAGATGTCTGTTGGGGAGCATCAAAATAAAGAGTTGGCAGATTACAGACAGTATACTCTAATGACTGCTAGTTGACATGTAATTGCAAAGTTACTTACTAGGGGTGTGTCCATTTCATCACTTCTTTCTAATTTTTTTTTTTCAATTATATATTGTAGTAGACTATTGAATGCTAATGATAGGAAGACATAATATTGACTTAACTGGGAAAGCAGCAGCCTTCTTAGTTATAAATGGTCAGAATAATGTATTAATTTAGGTTGAGATGGCAGAAGGCTATTTATAAGCATTTGCATGTTCAATTCAATGTGCCATAAATGTAGCAATGTAGCGTTTTGTCACTCCTTGTTGGAAATAATATCTTATACGCTGATTTCAAGCAGCCGCCATTTTGAAATGGCTCCGGTGGGAAGAAAACCGGAAGTGTCGCGTTTAATCATAGGAGAGTCGCGAATGCAATGGCGTTGGTGTTTAATGTAGAAATTAGTTATTCTAAACATTTACATATATTTCTTTCATACTTTAGACAATATATACAGTGAAATTCATTTATAAATATTTTTTATATATAATTCAGAACGTATATATAACGTATATATCCCAATAATGGATATTAAAGGAGTAGTTCACTTTTAAAACTTTTGCTGATTTTTGTTTTTATTGTTCAGGTTTTTGATGAAAACATTCCAGGATTTTTCTCCATATAATGGACTTCAATGGGAACCAAACGGTTCAAGGTCCAAAAGACACTTTCAGTACAAACTGCAAACTGTTCAAAGGGCTTTAAACGATTCCAGACGATGAATAAGGGTCTTATCAAGCGAAACGATCGCTCATTTAATAAATAAATAACAAAGTTTAAGTTTTATAAGCACAAATGCTCGCCTTGCTCTGTTCTGTGATGCACGACCGTGACTTTCCTGTTTGAACTCGTTCATCAAAATGAATAAATCTTTTTCGTGTCATTTGGTTCATTCAACGAGAAACAAACGAATTGACTTGGAAAAAGATTAGTTCATTTTGATTATTTATTTATTAAATGAGCGATCGTTTCGCTTGATTAGGCCCTTATTCATCGTTTGGAATCGTTTAAAGCTGTCTTTTGGACCTTGAACCGTTTGGTACCCAATGAAGTCCATTATATGGAGAGAAATCCTGGAATGTTTTCATCAAAACCCTTAATTTCTTTTCGACTAAAGAAAGAAAGACATGGACATCTTGGATGACATGGGGGTGAGTAAATTATCAGCAAAAGTTTTTTGAAAAGTGAACTACTCATTTAACATCTAATAGTGTAAATCGCGGCAGCAGCTTCAGGTTGGTAGTCCAAGGCATTGTTGTCTATCTGTACTTCGGGGGTTCTTCCCACCAGAGCCTCGTTTTCGATTTCAAAATGGAGGCTGCGTGAAATCAGCGTATTACTGGAAAAGCTAGACACGAGCTACTGTCACGCAACTGTAGCTACTTTCAGCTGTTTGAAACTTTGAAAAGCAAAGGTGAGTTGGGATGCACAGAATGAGGCTTTTTTTTATAAAGCCAGTAGACTGTGTAAGGGAACTTTTGTTTGGAGCTCAATGAAAAAAGATTTCTCTGTTTGAACCCACTCTCATCTAGGCTTCAATTGTCTGAGACACAATCTCACCAGCAATTTAACATTGACTATCTGTCAAAATGTCTCCCTGTTCTCGAGGGCGTTCTGGTGCCTGTCTCCTGCTCTTGACGGTGTGTGTGTTTATATTCAGCAAGAGTTTCCAGCTCCCACAGTCTGAGCCTTCAGATTTCAGCTCTTTAAGCCTGCCAGGGTGATTCTGCTTGGCACGGAGGAGGAGTGACTACATTAAACCCCTCAGGGAGCCGTAGCGCTCATGAACATTGCTGTGTGTCTGCCTTGTTTGTCTTTTTTAATCTGTCTCTCTTGCTCCCAGAATCGCTTTTCTCACATACCTGTTCCCTCTTTCTACATCAGTAATTCTCATCCAGGGCTATAAGTGCTTTGTTAAAGCAAATTAAAATTATGACTATCAAAATAAAAGTATTAGCACAATAAAACCTATCCTCAAGATTAAAATATATATATATAATAATATTTTTTTTATTAATTTCATTTTAAATAACTATACAGTTCCTCATCAATTTAGCCTATTTTTCACCTACTTTTCCTCCCCTTCATGCTGCTATGTGTCAGTTGCCTTAAAGATAGAGAATTGGATTTCTGTGAACTGCTAGATGTTTCTTATGTCAATGCCACAATAAGAGGAAATGGGAAATATGGAGTGGATTAAGAATGTGTCTTACTTTTTTTTTTATTCCTGTTACATAGTGGATTTTCTTCATATTTGTTATAAATGGCAATAAATAAAGTATTATATATATTACATTAAGATCCTTATAAAGACCAGTATATAAAGAGCAGTGTTATTTTAGTATTTTTTTATAAATTAAAATAATAATTATAATATTATAGTATTTATTCATATTTTGAATAGCTTTTACTTTTATATTTCAATTTTCATTTTAGTTTTTTTTTGTAATTTGTATTAGTTTTTTTATATTTATATATTTATTTTTATTTCTTTACTTATTTTATTTCAGTTAATTGCCAAGTTTTTTTAAATCATATAATATTTGCATTTTATTTCAGCTTTATTTCAGTTAACAAAATACATTTTTAATAGATTTAGTTTTACTTAGCAATAACAAAAGTGATAAAGACTCCAGACAGAGGTACATTTATGTTTATCCAATGTAACCCTATTTACATTAAAATCCATAAACAAACAAAATGCAGATATAAAATAATAACAGATTAAATATTTCTGAAAGAAAGCTATAGTGCACTGTAAACCCTAATGTTGTCTTTACTTAAACAATCAAGTGTACTTGACTAAACATTACTTAAAATTTTGCATTTTGGCCCAGTCACTCAAAAATATAAGTTCAAATAACTTATTTACCTTCAAAATACCAAAACTTAAGATTTCAAGTGCTGTGAACTCAAAATAATGATTAAACCTTACAAAAGGTAATTTTCAAAAATGTCTTAACTGTGAAATGATACATTCATTCATGCTTTCTTCAAGTGCAAGGTGTCATTCTTATTTTACCAGAAAACAAATGGCTTTCATTTTACAATTATTGATTGTAATGGAAATAAACTGATGTTTATTTAAAAAAAAAAAAAAAACGGATACTTTAAACTTAACAAATAAACTTTATTACCCAATTTTCATACATTTCACGTGCACATATGCCACGTGCCAAAACGCATGAAAGAGTTCCTCACATCAGCCACCAACCAAGTCTCAATAAAAAAAAAAATATACAAAATAACAGAAATACAGCGACGACACATTATGTTGAACGTTAAATCAAATTCATTTCAAAGGTTTAAAACGTCTCTCTGATCTTCCTCTGATGCGATTTGCCACGCAAGCAGTTCTGCATGGCAACAACAGAACTAATGGGCTGATTGGTGGATTACAAAATTGGTGATTTTCGCATCGTCTCGTCAGTTGCTGACACCAGTTCAAATGTGAAGACGGGACGGGAGTTTTTCTTTGAGTAACATTCTCGGTAAGTACAATTATTAAGATATAAAGTTATTTTGCATGACTTTTTAACTCAGAAATATGTTTATTTAAATCCTTGCACGGTTAATAAAAGAGAACGCAGCCATAACGTTAATTAGTTCATGGTCAAACTTTTCCAACACGTTTTATGTGATGATATGATAACTGCGATATCAAACGATTCTTTAATTTATTAGTTTAATTGTGTAATCGTGTATTTCTCGGCAAAAGAACATAGTTAACTAACGTTAACGTTATTTGAGAACAGTCAACTTAGTGACGTTTTTTCTGGTCAATCTTTTGACAACCTCGACATTAATTAACAGTGTTTTCTTCATGACTTAGTTTGTGATAGTATGATTATTGAAATGTCAACTGCTTATTTTCTTATTTTACTAGTGAGATAGCTACATATTCGATTATCTTTTTTTCTGTGCAAGAAAGAACATGGCAGATGCACAGACCATGTGGGTTATTTTTCCCGGGCAAAGGTCAGTTTTACCAGTAACTTGCAAATATTTTCATGATACATTTCTGATTTTGACTTGTAAAACGTAGTATTTCGTAAAGTATCTATCTTAAGTTATAAGAACATTTGTTACTAGCTACGAGTCTAGGACGAATGATGTTTCGTAGATTGAAAAATTAACGTCACGCTTGTCACCAATAATTACAGCGATTTAGTCATATGGAAAATACTATAGAAGTCAATGCGAACTAGCAACTTTTGGTTACAAACATTCAAAATATTACTTTTTGTTTTCAGCAGAATAAAGAAAACCATGCACACAACTGTTTGACAATGAGTAACGTTAGGCTATGATCGTTTTCATTTTTGAGTGGTCTTCCTTTAACGTGTTAAAAATATTTCTTAGCCTCTACATTTGTTTCCTAATTATTCAATTAAAGCATTTCAATGTGCACGCTAATGTGATTATGTGATCTGCTCTTATCTCCCCAGTTCAACAGAATTGCTGGCAAAAACCTAAAGCAGGATTTCTACGAGAACCTTGATAGATATAGTCCACGGTTCATGGACCTTTTTTAAGCCAAAGGGGAGACTCCTGGTCAGCAACGTTACTTGGCTAACTTTTTGAATCAAATAAAGGTTAGTAATGGTTAATAATAAAAAAAAGGTTTTGTCTTATTTAAGATAACTTAAAGGATAACTTTTATTCACCCTCAAGTTGTTCCAAACCTGTATACATTTCTTTGTTAACGCTGAACACAAAGGAAGATATTTTGAAGAATGTTTGTAATTGAACAATTTTGGGTACAATTGGTGTTCTTAGTATTGTTATTTTTATTTTTTTTAGCATGTATAACTCAATGTTGGCCCAAAACTGCTTGGTTACAAACATTCTTCAAAATGTATTCTTCCTTTGTATTCAACTGAGCAAAGAAATGTACAGGTTTGGAATAACTTGAGGGTGGCTAAATGATGACAGAAATTTCATTTTGGGGGAACTATATCTTTTAAGAGCATTCATTTAATCGTATATTCTTATAAAAGTTCTTCAAATATATTGATTACAGTAGTTGTTGGCATTAATGGAATTTTGTGTTTTCCTCTAAAGTCAGCCCAACCAACGGAGGTCCTAACCCTTGTGATTCAAGGACTACCTATCATGCTTGGAGATGATGGTGACTTCATTTCTTCAAGTCATATTTAGTAAGTGCATCTGTTCTTCACGTGTTAACATTAAAACAACCACCTGTGCTCCCATTAGTCTAAGCATTTGTCAAGCATTTGAAAATCATGTTGATTTTAAAGCAATAGTTTCCCAAAAAAAATTAAATTTGCAGGAAATGTTCTCACCTTCAGATTATTCAAGATGAAGAAGAGTTTGTTTCTTCATCTGAAAAGATTTGGAGAACTTCAGCATTACATCACCAGCTCACAAATCGATCCTCTTTAGCAAACAGATGCTCAAACTTGTTCAAACAGCTGATAAAAACATCACAATAATCCACAATTAATCCACACGTTTGCTCTTTGGACTCTTACTTACAACACCCATTCGCTACAGAGGATCAATTTGGGAGCAAGTGATGTGATGCTACAGTTCTCCAAATCTTTTCAGATGAAAAAACAAAACAACAACTCTATATATTTAATGGCCCGAGAGTGAGTGCATTATTATGTTTGGGTGAATTATTAATTTAAAATACAAAGTAGCCAGTTCTTCAAATTAATAAATGTAATTTATACTGCATACTTTAAAAAAAAGTATTATCTTTGCTGGAAACATGTACATTTTCATAAAGTCAAATGCATACTTGTCCATATAATTTGGGATTAAGGTTAGTGCTATGTGTGTTTTTAATAAATCTAGTGCACGTTCTGATAAACATCAATTTATAAACATTTGATTCCTGATCGTAATACTCTATTTATGTATGTTTTTACACTAGGTGTCTGATCATCGCAACTCCATCCTTAATGTGCCAGTGGGCATCTTATTTGAGGACACTGACTTTCAGCCCCCCAATTCCTTGTATTTAACTTCTACGATTGGAATAATAAAATGCAGGACCTCCCACAGGCTATGTGTCTCCTCTTCGGTCTGATCTACGAACTTGAACTGAATTACCCCAAATCATTTTGCAACACGTTTGATTTCATCCAGCGTGTGTTAATGTCAATGGGACAATATTCTCTCAAGCCTAAATTGCAGTCTCTGGCAAACCAGCTTTTTGTAAAAAAAAAAAAAACTTCACTTTGAGACTTTAACACCACTCTGAGAATGTTCTACAAATGATTTGCAGGATATATATACCATGTATTGGTACCATTTTTACTACCTCTTCAGTTTTGTGACCCAGAAAATATTTGTTTAAAAAAAAAATGCCACTTTGAGACTTTAATATTTCTGAAAATGTTTTGTTTTGTGAGGGAAAATGGTTTAAATTGTGAAATGCTCTATAATTAATGTGCATTAGTCAATTTAGTATATTGTTACCATTGTTGGTAACAATACCTCTACAGTGTGTTCAATTACAGTATAGTTTGTACTGTAATATTGTGCAAATATTTGGTCAAAGACAGTGACTATGGTCAGTATGCTTTACTTATTTTGCTGTGATTGCATAAAGCTTAAACCAGTAAAATGTTAAAAGAATGTACATTACGTGTAAATGTTCAGTACATTTACAAAAATCTGAGACTTAAGTGTATTTTGTAAGTGATCAGAGTTGTACAATTGATATTGCACTACTTAATGTTAGATACTGTTGCCACATTTAAAGTTATGTACAGTGTGAGACTCATTTCCATTTGAAATTTTGATCAATAAAGACTCAAAAGATCAATATGTTGTTCATTGTTTTATGTAAGTGCAGTGTGCACACAGCTTACAGTCAAAAATAATATCTTTAATATTTTGAAATAATATTACAGTAACATTTTCATGTTGAGTTTACTTAAATATACAAGTACAATTGATATTAACACTAAGTTAAGTGAACTTTATTGTCTAAGTGTATTAAATAATCGTCAAGTTTGGTGAACTAAACAATTTAAGTCAAGTCTACATAACTACCAAGTTAAGTAAACTTAAATATGCAAGTTTTGGGTGACCCCATTACTCAATTAAATTGAGGGAACGAGTTTACTCAAATCAATTGAGTTAAATCAACTTATTAGGGTTTTCAGTGTGAGTCTTTTTCACCAACCCCACCTTTTTTTGGAGTTTAACACTAAAATCATTCTAATAACTTACATTTACATTTATTCATTTAGCTGACGCTTTTATCCAAAGCGACTTACAATTGCTATATATGTCAGAGGTCGCAACTAGGGGTTAAGTGTCTTGCTCAGGGACACATTGGTGTCTCACAGTGGATTCGAACCCGGGTCTCTCACACCAAAGGCATGCGTCTTATCCACTGCACAATCACCAGTAATAACAATGACCATAATATTACTGATCATGCAAAATGATAATCAAAAGCACCACATTTTTACACCACATTACTTTGTTAAGATCAGTTGTGTTGAGACCAGTTAAAAGCAGTTCCTCTCAAATCTGCGCTGCTGTGTGGCTTCCTTCATTTCCCTGCAGTGATCGAACCCTCGAGCCAGTCGCCAGTCCTTCTTTTCTCTCTGGATTACATAATCGCACATAACAGAAAATAGAGCAAAAGCACTGAGCCTCAGCACAACTCTCCATCACAGCACATCCTTTCTCTCAATATGAACGCAAAATGATTTCTGGTGTCAAAGAGATAAATAATTGATGCAATTTACTTCCATGCAGGAGAAACCCACACGGGGTTCAGAGAGGTTTAAAAAAAATCATTCAGATGACTTTCAGGAAGAAGGAATACTTTTGACTCTCTGCCGCCTTAGAGGAATCAACAAAATATTCTGCTCATTGCATCATCTATTTCTATAAATTGTCTGCGTTATTTTAGCTTCTAATTGACTTCAGGATGTGGCTCACGTTATTATGAAAATATTTGTGCTAGGGCTGGGTAATTAAAATCGATTTCTCGTTATTAATCGATATTAATCATTTTTACGAACCGATATCGATTCTTAAACCTCAAGAATCGATTAGTCATCCTGTTTCATTTGAATGAATGGATCATTGTATCGCGGCTGCGTGCATCCAAAAAAAAAAAAAAAATCGCAATAATCTTTGTCCTTTGTTACTATTGATATGAAACAAAGTTTTCAAATTACATCCATTTTCTTTATAAATTCAAAAACATAAATAACGTTTTGGCGCTGTGGCGTGAGATCGAGAGAGAGAAGCAGCAGCGCTGATCTCTCTTCCGGCTTAATAATACCAGTTACAGCGCGAAATAAACATGAATGAGCATCTGAAAGTGTGTTAAAAGATAGAGTACAACTTATCGAAATCCGTATCATGTCACACTGATTCCCTTAATCAGCGTTTCAACCGTGGAAAGACGTCAGTTAAACAGCTTGTAATCAATGTATCGTCATATTTACCTCAGAAAACCCACATCAACTCGTTAGTCAGCTAGAAAAAATAACTCTAGAGAGGAGCATTTTGCTAAATATATACACCATACATATGCATTATAATCTTAATGTTCTTCAATATTTAATGCATATTTGAATAAATCTGGCAAGTTTTTATGACAGTCACCATTTAAATGTTTATATTTCATATAATCTTCTTATTATAAAAATAAATAAAAGTGTAATTTAAGTGTTTGTATAGCTACAAAACAGTTAATTATTACCTTCATATTAGGCTAATGAAGCCTAGTAGGCTACAACTAGACTCCCATAGTTTACAGCATTAGTTAAGAGATTTGATTTCCTTGAGAAAAATTGCCATTTATTGTAACTGATATCCAAAATAATCAATATTGAATCGAATCGGAATCGAAATTGAATCGAATTGCAAGCTCGTGAATCGAAATCGAATCGAATTGTGAAATTTGTGTCAATACCCAGTGCATTCGATTGCTTGGGTAAGATGATGTAAAATTATAACAGCCTTCTGTCTGTGTCGTCTTGACTAATTTGCTCGCATTCATCAATTTCGCTTTTACTCTCGTGCTCGGACTTGTTCGCTAAGCCGAACAGCCAATCAGAGCTCTCGATTCAACATGCTGAATCGGACCCCCAAAAAACCTGAAAGTGTCAGACGAGAGCCAACGGTGAAAAAAAACAATCCGACCGACACTCAAAAATCCAAATCTCAAAACTAACAGTCGGCTTGGTGTGTCCCGGCCTTTAGAAACGACCCAATATTTTCACCATCCAACACGTTTTTATGGGCGCATACAAATAAGCAGCGCAATCAGTGAGCGCATTTCATTATCACCCCCCCGGGACTCAGATTGGTGTAGACGGTCTGTTGAACCTGTTCCTAAACACAAAGACAGGGTCAGCTCAACCCTCTGGATTACAGCGAGGGTCTGTTTAGCCTTCGTGACTGCTAAATAAATACGTGTTTGCCCCCGTCTGTCTCATTAGCAGTGCTATTGTCAAGTCAAGTGAGACCAGGAAGATGGAGGGATTAACTTCAAATTTCTCATTCAATCCTGCCTAAGGGACAGATGGGTCAAATCTCTGTTTTGTCCTCGATACAAACAAATCCAAAAACAGTTTGACACTCACTCTAACAGTGAGCTGTCAGCAAACAGATTAAAAGATGAATTTGATTTTAACATTGTCTGATGAAAAAGTGAGTGTTGCTTGCCTGTGTAAAACTCAATGGCATTACGCTAGGGTGGTTGCCAGACTCTTTCTATGCAGTTGCTATGGTTATTCAGAGAGGTTTTACTAGGGAAGAGATGATGTAAAAATTCTGTCTGAGAGCTGATAATTGCTTGAATGTTTAGTCGATAACCTATAAATGTGGTCAAAATAAGTCTGACCGCTTAGAAAAGCAATAATAGCACACCTCTCCTCTACAGGTCAAACAATTTGAGGAATTATTTATGTGCATACCACAAACAACGTTTAATTCGTAGAGTTAGGGGTTTGTTAAAATAATAATAGTGTTCGCATTGAATATGGTTTCAGTTAACTTCATTTATCATTACTTGACAAGAACTACTTGCTCTCTAGTCACTCTCCAGATACAAATAGTACTAATATCAGTGTGATCCTCCAGTGGCCTGTTATAGCTAGTTAGAGATCTCTCTGCATATTAATGCTGTGATTTTCTGCTTTGATTTGATATGATCAGATGCCACAAGCCCACGCTATGTGGGCTCAGAGGAACTCGCTCCCTGTAGTATTTCATCATGACCTGCCAATTTCAGCTCAAACATCTGAATGTTAAATGAGAGATATGAAAATATGGAGCCTTGGCTCTATGTAAGTGTAAAAATACAATAAATTATCCAATTTGCTTAAAATTTTAGTTAGGTCTGAGAAGAATAAAACAAAGGGAAATTAAACAAGGGGGAACAAATCTGCACACATGACCTGGAAGTCATTTTAAACCAGTGCTATTTTAGTATCGATGAATATTTTGAATTAGTTTTTAGTTTGGTTTATTTTGTTGCTTTCATAATTTGTAATAGATATACATGTTTTGTTTTTTATACATTTTTATTTCAGTTGTATTATGTTAAACTAAATGAAAAGGGTTGCTTTGACAACTAGCTAAACTAAAATAAGTTTCTTGTTTTTATTTTATTTCAGTTAAAGTTATTTTAAGTAACGAGTCACAACTTTTTATGGTTTTAGTTTTAATAGCTATAATAACCCTGCTTCAGAGATTTAAAGGATTAAAAAAAATGAAGGGAATAAAGAAAAAGAAATAAGAAAGTTATCTGATTTCCAAATAATATTTTATTTTAAAATATGCACACATTCACTCTTATTCATGAGTCTAATATATAAAAAAAATGCAAAAAGTTTCACATCTCGTCAAATTCAGTCATGAATCATGTAGGCTAAATGATAGCATAGTTTTAACTAAATAAAGTTGTGGATATTACAGTCGGTCAATGAACATTTCTATCGTAAAACAGTCAAATATAAAATGTTTAGTTACTTCAATTTTACCACACACCTTCAAAATCTAAAGTAATATAATCTAAAGTATAAAATCTAAAGTAATTTCAAAAGAAATCCATGTCATTGTGAATTTCGGATAAGCACTTCCACAGGCAGATTTCGTAACAGGTTCAAGTTGGTGACTCAGATTTGCCACAGCGCAGCTTGATTGAAAGTGACTTCTATAAACTGCTCTATACATTGCTACTATAATGACAAC